TTGCAGCTCTTCCCTTTGAACTAAAGAATTGAAGAGGTCTTGGTAGGTTAGATTAGGGTTCGGCCGATCGGGCAAGTTTGGGACAGCGTCTCCATAAAAGAACTTCGCAAAACAACTTGGCCACGTTGAAGGCTCAAAGCAAGAAAGCGCAGACTGGCGAGGAAGCCTCACTGCAGTGTGGCGCGCGTCTGCAATAGAACTTTCCAAGAGCGCAGGCTTGCTACGCAACAGTTGCCTGAGCGTTTCCTGCAAGTCCACGATGACACGTCGGCATCTCTCTTCACTGGCAACTGCTTCCACATCCGGACCACCATCACAGTAGTCGCTGAGCTTCCCGCTGCAAGATTTTCATGTTTGTTTGCGTTGCTTCGAACAGCTGCGCAGGCTTTGCGTCCTGCAGGTAATCCAAACCAAATCATCTCTTGAGGAGCGTTGGACCAAGCTGGTTCGGAAGCGTCAGGCTGCGCCTCTGAAGCCGACTCCTCGCTCGCGTCATCTGGCAACCTCGCATCTGCGCTCGTGTAAACTGCTCTGGAGGCCGGGCCTTGCATCGTTGAAGACACTCTGGGATTCAGGCAAAGAGATAGCCGAATGTAGTAACGCTTCGGGCACTCCGTCGTCTGGCAGCTGCAAGCAATCGTCATCTACAGTAACGTCAGCAAACGCTTCACAAACTTGTTTTCGATAATGAATGCATTGCAGGTATTCAAGCCGAGACACACGTAGCGCCCTGCATGCTTTCACTGTCACTTCCTCTGTAGAATTGCAGCACACGACGGACAAGGAGTCCAGCAAGTTTGTCAATGAAGGCAAAACTTGCTCAGGCTTCATCTGTGGTTGGGAAATCATAATTGTGTTCCCCTGCAAACCTTTTTCAACTTCTGCAGCCTCGCCTTTACCAAGAAACAATTGTTTCAGGCATAGACGCCCCTTCCCCAGCAACCTCTTAGTCGCCAATGGCAAATTTTGGAAGTTAGGGTGCTCACGTCCCAAGAAGTTCAAGTTTGACAAAGCTAGCGGCGGCATCGTTACTCTTTGCGCGCTGCACAAGCACGAAGCGCATTCCCAGCACAGCCAGGATGTCGCGTGTTTCTGGCCCACTCCTGCACATCGTGGGCGCGAGTCTAAATCTGGCTCACTCAGCTTACTTTTGCCATGCACAGCTACCCGTCTACTGTGTACAAGCCATCTCTTTGAAGCATCATCAGGGTGCTGCACAGAGCTTAGCTGCCGAACAAAACTCGAGGGCCTTGGCTGACAGCATGGGCTGTCTTGCAACTTGAAAACGAACGGATAAACAGGTCGAAGACTCACGTCCTGGCACTGCAGCAAAAATGCCCCCGGGCTTTGAGGGAACACATCGCCAATTGGCTCTGGCACTGCTGGCATGTCTTCCGAGCAACGAGCAAGAAGTTCCCTGGCTTCATTAAACATGTGTTTGCTCATTTCGTAGTGGGCATACTCGTGCGGCACCCTTACTTGTAGCAAGGAAGCACCGACTTTAACACGGAAACGGTCATTCCCCAAAGCTGCCTTGCGCCAGGCTGAATCACACAGCAAGCCTTTGCTGGTGCTGGCTGCGTTGGCGCATCAGGCTAACCGCTTCTGCAGCTTTTGCCACTGCTGCAGAAAACAAGCGTCCGGCGCGTCCTCTCGAAGCTTCTTCACTTTTTGCAACAGCTGCCACATGACCTTTGTCCACCAATACGCTTTTGCACACCCGCTCTGCGACGCATGCTCTGCGTGTGAAGGCACTGTTGCAGAAGTGTTTGGATCCTTGTTCTGCTGCTTGCATGCGGCTTCCTGCAACTGCTCAAAAACTGACTTGCGATTCTTGAGTTTGGTGTAAATTTCATCCTCGTGCCTCTGGTCTTTCCGCTTTCTAGGGTTTGCCGCGGCCTGCGTGCTTGCTTGTAGCTCTGGGCAGGCACGCTTGGCTCTGGGCTCAATCGGCTCCGTGCCACACGGTGGTCTAAGCCAGGACACAAAATATCTTTCTGTCTGCCTTCTGGCAAGCTGGCCAACAAAGCTTGCGTTTGCTCCAAGACAGTTAGTTGTCCCGTCCATGCAAAGTGGCCTGTCGGCGAGGTCGCTATGGCAACTTCTTCCACAGCACCTGTTGCCAGCAGCTGCGCAACGCAACTCATTGGCACAAGTAGTTTGGCATTGAAAGAACCACCTGGCGAAGCAAACAGGACTTTGGAGGGAGCCAGCTGCTGTGACCCGCTACTGCTGCTGCAAGCAGCTGCGCTGCGCACTGCGCTCACAAACTTCAGCTCGATTGCCGCCTTCATGATTGGCAGCGCTTGCCGTCCAACTTTCCACTGCGCTGCCAACTTTCGCCACTTGTTGACAGCTCCTCGCTCAGGCGTTTTTTCCCGCAGTTCTAAAAAAATAACCATGGCTTTATATTGGTCTGGGCAGTCCGCTTGCAAGCAAATCTTTGTTGTTCTCAAACCAGTGTCGTGCATCGTCCAGGCTATCGATATTCGCCTTTGCTCCCCCAACCAAAGGGTTGAAGCAAACACGAATGACAGCATTTATGTTCAGTTGCCCAACTTCCATGCTTCTGGGCAATACCTTGCCGTTAGCAATCAGCTGGCTCGGCGTGCACCGCGCCCTGCCCATCAGTTTCTTCAAAACATCATGCATGGAATCAACACGGCGCATTTTCAAGATGTGGATGCGAAGAGTGCACGGATGGCGTGCCCAAATCTCAACGCACGGAGATGTTGAAGAATTCACTCTGCAGCCAGCGCCCCGGCTCCGTTGCTCGCTGCGGCAGCCTTCCAAGTAGCAAGCCCCAACGTTGAGGCGCACGAGCAAGAGGCTCGTGAAAACAAGCGGAATGCTCCAAGCAATGCCAAGTGCAGCAGCAGCTGTTGGCAGCAAGCAAACAGCAGCAAAACAACTTGCCAAAGCACACCATTCAACACATGTGCAGCTTCGCGCCCTTGCTTGGGTTAGCCTTCGTTTTCCACACTTCCTTGCTGCTGACAGCAAAATCCGCGACATGCCACCGGAATACCTTCTGGCCCCTTCCCCGCAAGCAAGGTAAGCCCCAAAACTCGCGGAAGAAGTCGCAAACAGAAGCACGTCCGTGACCTTCATGTTTCCTGTTGGGGGGGGCGTAAGCAGGATCATGAAATCAAGAGCAGAGTGCCCTCTGACCACCCCAACTACCGCACGTATCATCAAAATAAGGTACACGGTTCAGCACCCAGGAAAAACAAGATAAAACGGCTAGGACTGTTTTGAGAAGATGGCTGCCTTGATCAAGGGACTGTCCGCTCACAGATCAAGGAAACCCGCAACAGGCGCGAATGAACGGGCAGTTGCGCCAGCAAGATGTGGAGCAGCAAACTGTTGTAGCGATCGCAAAGATGTGAAAAAGGAGAAGATGCAATTTGCGTTTCGCCTCAGCGAAACGCAAACGCGTGTAAAACTGAGCCCTCTTTTTGGAAGGTTTTTGGGGGACTCAATGTGCGCTTCGCTGAGGTGACGCGCAAGCTTTTCAGAAAAGCGGCAAAACGCGAGCGCGGATTTCGGTCCGCCGGCGGAAACCGCGCTCAACGGCGTGCGCCTTTCCTGCAGCCCTGCATGGCACGCCCGCACCACTGCTTTGCCCTGGCACTGCGCGCACACCTGACTATGATAACCGCACCCGCTCGACTGCTTCGTTATAGCAGGCCTGACCATGGCAAGTGCTTCATTACAACACTGCGCGCTTGACCATGGTCAGCACACCCGCCCGGCTGCTTCGTTACAACACTGTGTGCACGCCTGACCAAGCGCACCCGCCCGACTGCTGCCTTCTAACACTGCGCGCACGCCTGACCATGTTAAGCGCGCCCGCCCAACTGCTGCGTTAAAACACTGCGCGCACGCCTGCCTATGGTAAGCGCGCCCTCCCGACTGCTGCGTTCTAAAACTGCTCGCATGCCTGACCATGGTAAGCGCGCCCGCTTGACTGCTTCGTTATAGCACGCCTGACCCAAGATGTTTTTCACGGACGCGAAAAGGTCGACTGCCACATCGGCACGATAGACTCTACCTGGTCAAGCTGCAAAGCATATCCCGAATTCGCTGCCTTAGTGCAGCGCATCTCCTCCTGTATGTAAAGTCTTGGCAGCTGCGCCGGCAAGATGTGGAGCAGCAAGCTGCCGTAGCGATCGCAAAGATGTGAAACAGGAGAAGGCAGGGCGATACAATTTTGCGTTTCGTTCAGCGAAACGCAAACGCGTGTAAAACTGAGCCCTTTTTGGGAGGTTTTTGGGGGACTCGCTTTTCAGAAAAGCGGGAAAACGCGAGCGCGGATTTCGGTCCGCCGGGATGTCTATGCATATACCTCCGGGCCGCATCTCTGCCAGCCTGCCTACTACCGCACGTATCATCAGAATAAGGTACACGGTTTGGCGCCCAAGAAAAACTAGGACCAGCGTGGCTCAAACCATACATATCTAAACAAGATAAAACGGCCAGGACTGTTTTGAGAGGATGGCTGCCTTGATCAAGGGACTGTCTGCTCACAGATCAAGGAAACCTGAAACAGGTGCGGTTGAACGGCTTGCACCAAAGGACAGCCAAATCACGTACCTCTTGCATTTACACCTTGATGTGTATGCATATACCTTAGGGCCGCATCTCTGCCATCCTGCCAAGCTTGGCTTTCATTTTCCACGAGGCGCGCGTGCAAAATCTCTGCAACTGTCTAACCAAAACTGGCGCTGAAATGTAGATAAATATAGATGGTGCCAGGGAGCGGCATTTCTTCATGTCCAACGGCGCTTGGCCCACTGAACCTTGCGTTTCATTGCTCCAGGGCAATTTCCTCCCTGCACTTTGCTCGCTGCTTGCAGCAAGGCTGAAAAATGCTGGATTGCCCCTGCCTCCTGGCTGGGGTCGAGATGCCACAGCTGTTCAACAATGTATTCATCATCTACCTTGTTGGTTACAATTGTAAAAGCCATCCGGTGTGAAACTCGAGATCCCTTGGCCGGATCCAGCTTAAACTCTGTGACATTCTCAAGCAAGCAGTACCCGGACACTGTGAAGGCCTGGGCATCCTGACTGCTGCCATCCTTGATGTCTTTGGTGGTCACTTTGTAGCCGCTGCCCATAGATGTGGTGACGCTTTTCCCTGAGCTCTTGAGGAGCGCCAACGCACGACTGCAAGTTCGCTTGTTGCCGTCGTAGTCAATCTGAAAGCCGTAGTGCGGCAACATGGTCACACGGTGCAGCTGGCAAGGCAGAAGACCATCTGTGGCCGCGCTGGTGCAAGCCAGCAAGCCAAGCAAATCGCCCACGGCTTTTCTGGGCAGCTCTTCGATGGAGTAGTGCGCGGCTTTCAGCACCACAGCGTTGACAACCTTGCCAGCGTCAGCCGCGTCAGCAGCATCACGGGCGCTCTTCAAGTCACGCACGCTGCGCACCAGCCGCACTGTGGCCAGCACTGGGAGTTGCAGCTCGCGGTTCTTGGCCTGTGTGGCCCTGTCCGCACACCCAAGCGCTTTTTTGTGTGACGCCGACCATTGTCCCTCCGGAGTAGTCCAAGGCACGGGTGAGGAAAAAGATTCTGCTCAAGTCTTTGGTCAGCACGTTGTCATCCTGCGGCGGCTGCACATGCACGCCGTTCAGCTGAAATAGCTCAGCCTCACTTGCCCCCAGCTGCATGTTTTCCGCCATGCTCTCCACAATGTGGCATGTCGTCAACAACGCAGCGTCCGTGGCGATGTCAAAAGGCAGCTGACTGGGCACAAAGCCACCCACGGATGCAGTTGGCGCATCTGAAGATAGCACAGCGTCCATGTCCCGGCACTATGAACGTGGAGTCTCCGCTGTTCACCCGCACAGCTGTCAAGCCTACGAAGGCACCACGCGCCCCTCCTGAGCCTTGACCAAACGGACACTGTCAAGCACAGCAGCGACCCATCATCACCCTTGGAGCCGTCTGCCATCACCACTTCCACCACCTCTGAAGCCTGGCCAGATCTCAGTTGCGCCGTCTTTGCACTGGAAACAGTACGGACAACAGCTGTCAGATCGAAAGCCATTCGGCTCGAAATGGACAGCACGTCCTTCACTGAAAGCCTGGACACGCACATGTTCGCTGTCATCTGGGTCTTCTGCAAGTCCACAGTCATCTTCAAGTCTGCAGAGATGTAGGTAGGCTGCACTTTGCTGTTCAGAACAACCTTCTTCATTCTGAAAGCCGACCCGTGCTTGAACTTCATGAGTGCCGCCTGAAGCTGATCTCGGCTTCAACGCACACACCCCTCGATGTAGTCATGCTCCATGCCAGACACCAAGCGACAAAC